TTTTCTACCATCTTGGTTTTTATTCAATCAATTTTTTATCTCTACCTCCATACCTAAAATGTCCTTTCCCAAAACACTGAATTACCTTACCAAGTCCTCATACTTGATATTTTCTAAAATATTTTAGAATCCCTATCCTAGTCTTTCTAAATTTTTAAAATATTTTTTTTTTGCCACCAACTCCTTTATAGAAAACCTTCTTCATCTAGTATAAACTGCCATTTGCCCTGTACCTTTTCTGATCATACTTTCCTAGCCTGTTTCTCTAGTTTTTCTCCACACTATGTCCCTTTATATCACAATATTCTCTGTGAAATATCCTGGCTTTTCTTTTCAATATTTTTCTTCCTTTAACAATCCTGCCCACTCCCATACCTTGAAATACATGTTTATTATGTTGGATGATTACACCTTCAGCTTAACTCCTTCTCCTAAACTGAATCATCCATGCACTAATTTTTCCATGAGATATATTAATCTGAATATATCATTGCTACCTCAAGCTCAGTATATTTGAATTAAATTGATATTCTTTTTCACTACACTAAGAAATCTGTTCTTCTTTTTTCATACCCTGTATCTCCATTACTGGCTACAAGCATGATGGAAACTTTGATGATCTTAGTTCCAAGGAAAGTTCCTACTTTCCTTGGAAGGCACTGTATCTCCTGCACCCTAAACTGAAGCTAACACTTCTTCAATGTGACCTCAAGCCCTCTTCTACTCACTTTTCTTTATAACTTTTATGGTTGTAGGTCTGTCCCCCTTTGTCTCTCAGTCAGTCCCTGATGCCACTGGCCTTCTAGCTTCTAAACTCATCTCTCTTCATTCTAGACAAACAAAATATCACTCTTCTGCTTGAAGTTTCCAGAGGTTACCACCTGCTTAAACTCCAATATCTTACCATAGTTTGAAAGTTTATTGATAATCTGGTCCTAACTCACCAGATTGGCATGAAATCTTTTCATTGCTATCCAACATCCTAGGCTTAACCTGCAGGGTACTACTGGGAATTTCAAGATCTAGGAATGCTGTTGTGCCTTTTCATTTTTATTTTCTTTCTCGTCTCTGCTTAGAATGACATTCTACTCCTTCTTCAGTCAAAATCCAACTCATCTTTCAAGACCCAAATCATTTATTAAATTCTCTTTGAAACCCTTCACACTTCCTTTATCAGCCAAATAACCTCTCTGCTCTTCTAATGTTCTATTCATGTGTATGGTATGCCATGTTGTAATTGTGTATTTATAGTGTTGTTTAATTGTGAGTTTCTCCTAAAGCTGATAATCAGTTGAATAATAATTTTTTTAACAAGTTAATTGTGAGTTTCTCAAGAGCAGGGATGGCAATATCCCAATCAGCCTCTACCACAGTGACTACATATTTTAGGTCCTCAATAACTCTCTGTTGTGAATTTACTTAAAAAAGTATATATACACATAAAACATTACATATAATGTATAAGTAATATTATATGTGTATATATTATATGTATACACATGTGTACAGTTGGTTCTTAAACAACATGGTTTGAACTGGGCGGTTCCGCATATATGCAGATTATCTTCCACATTTGCCACTACTTAGACAACAAAACCAACCCCTTATCTACCTTCCTCTTCCTCCTCAGCCTATTCAATCTGAAGACAATGAAGATAAAGACCTTTATGATGATCCAGTTCCATTTAATGAATAGCACATATATTGTCTCTTCCTCATAATTTTCCAAATGTCATTTCCTTGTCTCTAGCTTAATTATAAGAATATAGTATATAATATGTATAACATACAAATATGTATTAATTGACTGTCCATATTATCTGTAAAGCTTCTGATCAATAGTTGGCTATTAGTAGTTAAGTTTTGAGAGTGTCAAAAGTTATACATAAATTTTCTACTGTGCATGTGGGTCAGTACCTCTAATCTGTGCGTTGTTCAAGGGTCAACTTTATATATCCTATGTTTGTTGTATATATGTATTTATGTGTGTACTTACAGTTTATGTATCTGCCACCATATGTATTCATATATATGAAGCACTTTAGGGGTGAAAAAGGCCCTTAGATATCATTTTATCTATTCATTGAATATTACAAAATAGGAAACCAAGAACCAAAGTCATTAATGGCTTTACCAAAACTCTATACCATGTTAGTAAGATGCACAGTTTGAGTTCCTGTCCCAGATCTTCATCCAGTGTAATAACTTTCACTACATCATTTTAATTCAATCATCTCACAATTAATTTGATTCCCTATAATTTTCTGTACCAAGACCAAGCTTACCCTATTGGAATAGGCATTCTGGATGTAGGATGCAATAAATTCCTCTTTAAAGGTTTAGGTTGTTAACTTCCTTTAAAATTCAAGAGGGGAAAATCATTAAGTACCATGAGTTCTGAGTTCTTCAAAGAACCAATGTCAGTATGTTCAGCTTCCCTGTTCTTTGTTTTCCATTTCAAAGTACAACTTCCTCGTTCTTTACATCTTCTTGTCCCTATTTCAGTAAACAGCCCCCTCCTAGCCTCTGTCACCTGCTCTGTCCTTAGTCATCCTACAACTCACTCCACCACTCTGGCTCATACACCTGCTCTCTCTAAAACAGTCAATCAGAAGCAGCTTAGACTGTGCAGTCCAACCCTAGCCAATAGGGGGAAGACACAGCAGTAGGGACTAGCTGCATTAGGGATAAGACCCTGTTTCTCTCCCTTGTCCAGTGTGTTCTTGCCATTGTTCCATCCACTAGACACTCCCTTCTATAGAAATAAATTGCCTTGCTGAGAAAACTTTGGCTGGAATGCTATTTTCACTTTGCAGCACCAAGCATTTTACTTACAACATGCAATATCTCACCTCTTTTCTCTTTCAATTCCCTTCTTGCTTCTTTATTTTCATCAAGTGATACACACTTAATGATTCTGTAGCTGCTAAATTTTCATTTATGTTATATCCTTTTTCTTTAAATATTGTCTAGTTCTTTTGAGAACTACTTTCACCTCCTTTATAGATATTTTAAAGCCTCCTTTCCCTTTGGTAAAAAATAATAAGGGAGTCATTATTTTGCTTTCCAATTGAATGAATTTAACCAAACCAAGGATCACCATTAAATAAATATCTTTAACATCCTTATCATACTAGCTTTCATTTGCATACAGCTTTGAGGTTTACAAATCACTTTCTCATAACTGATTTGATTTTCACACACTGTGGATACACAGAAGAAGGTGTCATCACATTTACATGCAGTTGAGAAAACTCGAGTCAAAAGTTAAGTGAACTGCCAAAATTCCTACAGCTAGCAAGAGCTGGGACTAGCACTGGAATCAAGGTCTCCATAACATTGTTTCCAAGAGCGTTCCACTATTTTCAGCTGTTTATTGGCTTGTGCTCATACCATGACATTTATGATGACATATATTGGCACCTCAGATGCTGTACAGTGAATGTTGGCTAGTCTATTTTCCATGTCAATTATTGTTTGGCTCTTGTTACTTTGCTAGCATAAATTTCAACTAGACAAGTGCTATTTTGTCCTAAACTGACTTACCTCAGAAGCTCTTCCCAAGCATTTATATGATACCATTGAATGGTAAATTATAATTTGATTAATGTTTGTCAGTGTGAATGTGGTTTTCACACTGTCAAACCCTAACTGAGGCTAAACTGGAGATCTTCAACTCTTTGTTTTAAATTGAAATAAATTAGTTTTATTTCATTTGAACTCATTAATCAACTGATCTTCAAACTTAAAGTATTAGCAAGAATAATCTTGCTTTTTAAAATATATGTATGTTTCATGCAATATTTTAAGACAAATTGTGTCTTAAATAAATTTAAGTTTAAATAAATAAATTTATTTAAATAAATTTCTGTTTAATCTCCTCACTAAATTTCTAGATAGCAGCACCGCTTTTAAAAATTTCAGATACCGATATTGATGCAACTGTAGAGTAGATTGAGCTGTCTCTTCGGCAGTGGTGCAGAGATGGGCTGAGGCAGGGAAAGAGATCCACTCTCTGAAACCCGTTTGCAACCTCATCATGAATACATACTTTCCCTTTCAACTACAACTTTCTCTTACTGTTTGGCCTGACCAAGTTACTCTTAAATTACCCCCTAGCTCTAAGCAATAAGAATAATCTTTTCCCATTTTACTCCTATGAACATGTGAAGTTTCCTGTCCGCTAAAGAATTCTCAATGTTTTTTAATGGAAAGAGAAAGCAAGCCGGCAGCAAAGGGGTTGGTAATGCCTCACTCCGTATTGTTTTCCTGCCTGTCACAGTCCCGCCAGGACCTCCAAGCATTTTGCCTGGGGGTACTGATGCACAGTTAGTTGCTGCTTGTGTTGGGTGATTGAAAAACAAAGCAAAAGAATTCTCAAGGAAGGAAGGGAAAGTTTGAACCCAGGCATCCTAAGAGTTGCACACTTTAAAAATCCTTCGATTCGCTAGTTAAGAATTGAGTTTTTCAGGCTTTCCGGAGGCCTCACTGGAGCCCCATTTGCCTCTAATTGTTGGAACCGCGCTCATTTGTCTTGTTTCTGAGTATCCCACATATCACAAAGCTAAAGTTAACAATTTCAACTCTATATCTACAAATACCATAACAGTGGGTATATTGCTCGCCTCAAGAATTAAGACCGACGCTAAACTCTTTGCTTGTTCTTTGCTAGAAGTATGTTGGAGAAACTCCTAGCAGAATGAGAATCCAGAGATTAAAAATATTGCACTTCATTATGGAAGTGCAGCATTGCCCTCATTAACTGCAGAGCTGCGAGAGAAATATTCCAGCGACTCACTGTTGCCTCTTAGTTGTTTTGCTTCTCTTTCATAATTGCATCGGACATGACCTATTTGCTTCCTAAGAAATCATACTTTTTACCTTAGGAACCCAGTGTAACCGGGCCATCCAAATGCACCGGGGGCCCTGCAGAAGGCCATCAGCTCCTTAATGTGGCCCCAGATGTGAAGATGGGGAAAGGGTGACTCCGTCCCACTTACCAGTCTTCCACAGATAGAGGGTGGGCGCCTCCGCCTCGCCCTGCGCTGCAGCCCTGCAGGCGCCCGGGCGCAGCAGCAGCAAGAGGAGCTGCAGCGGCAGCAGCTGCAGGACGCCCCGGCGCGGCCCCGCAGCGCCCCGGCTCCCGGACGCCCAGCGCCTGGCTTGCAGCCCCATGCCGCCCGCAGCCACTCCAGGGTCCAGAGCCACAGCACGCTCGGCAGGGAATTTTTCTCCGCTCTTGGAACGTCTTCCCAAAGAGTACAGAAAGCAAAGCTCTTTCCTGCTATTGTTCGCTTCAGATGAGAAGGAGGGAGAGCGCGTCTAACACCAGGGAACAATAGCGTCCGAGGTGGTGGCGGTGGCCGCAGCCGCCGCTGCCGCTGGCGGGGATGCTGCTGCCGCTGCCATCCCGTGCAGAATGGAAGGTCCCGGCGGCTCCGGAGGCAGCTGTCCTCAGGGAGCCTCAGCTGACTGAGCAGGTCTGCTAGGTCTGGGAGGCAGCGCAGCCCCCGCCAGCTGGAGGGGGAGGAGGGGGGCGTGAGCCCAAAGGAGCGAGAGGGGGCTGGAGGCAGAGGGAGGTGAGAGTACCAGGGCGAGAAGGGGAGAGAGGAAAGGGGAGAGGGGACTGCCAGGCGACACCCAGCTCCGACATACCCGCCTAAAGAACTCCTGTGCACATGGTGCGATGAAATATGTTTGGAAGGATGAACCAATAAAAAGAATCATCACCCGGCAGGTTTCAGAATGACAAATAACAGGCATTGATATTCATTGTCACCCAAGGAGTCAAATGCTAGATCTAGTGGCATGTTATTCTTAATACGTATTTACACAAAGCATCAGAGTTTAGGATCTATTTTTAAGCCATGGCTTCTGAATTACTTTGTGTGGGGAGCTGTGTTTGAGATCAGATGTGAAAACATCAGAGCAGCAATGTTTACTTGTCAAAAAAACTCATTTAAACACTTCTTTAAATGTTGTTTTTAACTCAATCTATTCTCAATAAAAATTTTGAGCAATATTGATGTTCTGTGACAAAGTGTCTTTTAATAGCCTTTAAAACTGAATTAGTATTTAATGAGTATTTCCAATACTACCTAATTAGTACAATTGTACAAAAAATAATCTTAAAATTATATTTCAGGTATAGAGTTCTGTCCCTTCATCTACTTCTCTCTGTCAAAAATATGCTAATTCTAAGTATTCAGGCAGTTGTGAGTCAAATGAAAGGCCAAACTGAGTCAGTAATGCTGTCTGGATATCTCAGAATTAGTAAATTCTTCATTTAAAATTTCATTGACTCCAGTTTTTCTTAACTCTTACTGTAGCAACATGCCTGTCACAATCTAAAGAAAGAACCACATGGGTTTGCATCTTTTGTCTTTTATGTTTTCACTTTCTTCTACCAGTAGTAATAGAAGAATGTGTGTGAAGTCAGATAATGTTTTACCCTTCTCCTTCTCCAGTATTTACCCGATAATAATATTTTATTATTAATTCATTTCATAGTAAAGGTAAAATAGTATCAAGGCATTTAGCCATCAAAAACGCAGCAAATGGAAAACCAAAGAAAACTATTATCTCATCAACAATTTTCAGCCAAATAAAATAAAATTTCAAAAGCAGGAAAACTACTTTTTATGAATTTACTCCAACACAGCTACTCGAGTTTAAAATGAGGAAGCTAGTGTTTCTGAAAGAGGAAACCTTCCATAAGGCTCCCTTGGGACCCGTGTCATTTTGCAGAGCCTTCCAGACACAGCCCTTCTGCATGCATTAGATTAAAGCAGGTTTGATCAAATAATTCCCAGGTCCTGCCTGTTTAAGTATTCTGACATCAGAGGAAATTAGCTACGTTGAAGGTTGCAAATTTGGTCTTTGTTTACTTTCCACTCTGTTAGGCCTCTAAGAAGGAATTAAAAGCTCAGAGAGCCCTAGCTCTGTGAGTCTGTGATTAGGAGAGATAAGCCAGTGTGGATTACTATTTCTTCACTGGTGAAAAACAGGCAACAATCAAAAGATTACAGGTTGATAAGGAATAAAAAGGAAGCCTGATCCTAACTAATGCATGGTTTCCTGAAGGACCACTTCTTTCAATAGTTACACCACAGAAGAAAATAAGACCTGCTATTGCTTCCCGGGCTCTGTCCTTTCAGGAAAATTTCCTTGTCCACTCCACAAGGAATCATTTTCCCATCCTTTCTGCTTATATTTCTCAGCTATTGTTAGTGCCCTAAACCTCGAAATCCTCTAACTCTGGCACAGGGATAATTTCAAACTCCGCTAACAGCAGCCCATTGTAAGCATTTGTGGGAAGCCCCAGTCGATTCACCAAGTGGGAATTCATTATTACAGAGGACAGAGAATTGGAGGAGCCAAGTTAATGTGCAAGGTAATTACCTAGGCCTTCAAAAAGCCATCAGACACTAAACTTAATAGCTTAATGTCAAAAGAAATTTTAAGATTCTGATCTTTATATTTACCCATGGTAGTATAATAATAACTCAACTCATCAAGAGTGTAAACATCATAGCTACAAATTCAAGGAATATACAGGGTCAACTTCTAGGTTCAAAGCTGCTACCATTTACAATACACAATTATGGTGATATGTTGTGCAGTAGTGTTTGAAAATAGCCAACACTTGTTTTCCTTTTTTCAATTTCAGTGTACACAAGGCATAGGTATCACACACACACATGCACATATACAAACACACACAATCATCAGCAAAGACATCTCTGAACAAGGCTAGAGAATCCAAGTCATGTAAACATTTGTCTCCACACCTGCCACACATTTGTTCATAACCATGTCATTATTGCACTTGAGGACAAAAATGTATGGGTCTCTGAGGAGACAAAAGTGAGGTATATATTCGGATACATGTTCCTTTGTGAAAGGTATAGTGTCTAGGTAGATAAATCCTATCAATAAAACTGATAGATGGCAAGAGATAGCAAGATGTAGCTATATTTGTTTTCTAGAATATGACATAAATAATACACAAATGTTTAATGACATGATGTCAAAATTTAGTCATGAGAAGTCTCAAGGATGCAGATTAAATTGACCATCTGTACATCCTGCCATGAAGCAAATCGTTCATCATTTTTCATGGAGAACTGTTCAAATATTAATGAGCCAGAGAGATAAAAGTTTTCCAAACCAATGGATGACAAAGGCAAAGCATATTTTTAATAGTTAGAAATGAGAAAATCTAAACTTATCACCTCTCATGTGATATAGGTGTCTTTATCATGCCTCTATTAATTTTCCTATCATTTCCAAACTCCAGAGGTGAGAATGTGTACATACCTATGCACATCTGTTTTCTCTTTTATTACAACATAAGCATATGAATATATATTACAACCCATAAAACTCATGACAATGAGTTTTAATCATTAGTACCTGTATTTTAAAACAATTATGAAATTTTCAGTTCCTTGATGGAAAGGGAAACAACTTTTAACATTGTCAGTTTTATAATTATAACAAATAGTGAAAATAGTTATTTGTTGATAGTGTTACATATGGAAGTATCTAAAGATGTTTATTTTGAAATAAAAACTTAAAAATAATTCTCCACATAAATGCATCTTGCCTCCTAAAAAATAAAAAATACCCAAAGG